TATTTCTGCGTTACAATCTTGCCCGCCGTGTGTTGGAAGAAAGCGGATATCTTATGCAGCTTGAAAGGGATCCCCCGACGATCGTTCCGAAAGGGAAGATGAAAAGAGAGCGAGTGAGGCGAAAGCTGACTCCTCTCTCTCCTCCCGTCGTCTTATTCCGCATCTCATATTATCCCCGCGATCGAGTGCGCCCCTTCAATCGCGTTATGAGAATCGAAAGGGCGTATTTCGAGAGACCGAAGACGACGAGGAGGAGAGAAGATCCCCTCGTGAGCCGATTGCTCTTCCGCGAGGCACACGGTGTCCTCCCTCCCCGTCTTCGGATTCTGCTGTTTATTTATTATGCCGTCAAGCTCGATTCTCTCTTCAAAATCTCTCGAATTTCAAGCACACGTCGCGAATAAAAAAAATCTATAATTGAACCACGTCGTCGACATTGTTGCCGTACCTCTCCGTGTCTTTTTTTTTTTGCTCACGTCGCAATTATTTTAACTTCCCTCCGCGCGCGCGCGCGCACGTGAAGAATCGCAATTTCTTCGCGGCGGATTTAAATGCCCACGTCGTAAAATTGAACATTTTTTTGGCCACGAGCTGTGTCCACTTGCGGAGGAGAATCCCCCCCCCCCCCAATACGNCCCATACGTTTAATTTTCCACATGGTTGTTTCGCGCGCGACGAGGGACGAAACGGAACCTTATCTATCGGTCCTTTGTCACGGCACAACACGTGCTTCGTCGACTATACGTGACTATATACGTTTCCTCGCAGTCGTCGGCATCAGCGAAATTTCAACTTGAAGCTCGCCGAAGTTGCAACGAGTGTGCGCCGGTGTGCACCTCGAGTGGATAGAGACAAGAAAGTTTCGTCCGCGCGGCGTACAAAGTACAAAGAAGAAGCGACAAGTTGCAGCGTATAAAAGGTCTTCAGCGGAGAGAAAAGAGAAAGTGAGAGAGAGAGAGAGAGAGAGAGGATGAGAGATCGCATAGGAAGGAGGAAAATATTGGCGCGCTCGACTTATTTGTATTCTTGTATTCAGATTTGTTTCGTCTGGCGATGTAACGAGACGCAATTACCCTTCGAATAATAAAAACGAAAACGGAGGAAAAAGAGGAAGGAGAGGAGAGAAGGGAGGGGTGGTTCATAGACCATTTAATTGGCGAAAGAACGAGACGCCCGGCGAGCAAATGATCCGAATTCATTTAGTTATTGCGCGGCCCGCGCGCAATACAACCGAGACGCCGCTCGATAGAGAAGTCGTCGACTTCGACGAGTTAGTGAGAGGGAGAGAGAGAAAGCTGTCGCGCGTGAATAAAAATGAGAAAAGCTTAGTAGGTTTCTTTCGGACGTGATTTTATGATAATGGAATGAATAAGTTCGCGCTGTCGAACGCCCGGGGATTTCGTTTTAATTGGACGCCCCCGCGAGAAGTAGAAAAATTTACACCCGAATTCGGCAGGGTTTTCACCCTGTCGGTGAAAAACTTTCTCGGTCTCGATGAAAGTGTAATTTTCTTATCTTCTAAATCCCAACCTCAGGACGCCTGCTGTCAAAAAGCTTTGGGAAAGAAAAGATTCAGTTTACGCGCGTTTACGCGAGGGGGATTAGAAAAAAAAAAGAAAGTTAAATTAAAGTCGAAGTGTCGATGTTTCAACACGGCGGGACGAACAAACAGATTCGGAGGAAACTTACACGTGGACGACGCAATTTATATCGCGCGTCGCGATGTCCTCGTGCCGTAAAAAAAAAAAAAAAACTCGCGGGACGCTTCCTAACGATACTATATCACTCGGAGCGCGGGACAAAGGAGGACGTTTGCCGAGAAGATGGACGAGGAAAAGCGTATAAGAGAGACAGAAGGGGGGGCGGGGGAAAAAGAGTTTGGGTTGTGAACTGCGTGAAGTTTTCATTAGGGATATTGGACCGCGCGTTTTTCTCCGAGACAGTTCCTTTCCACGAACCTTCGTCGTCGTCGACGAATAAAGTCGGCTTGCTCTCAGCCGCGGTAATTTTAATCTATAACAACACAACAGGGGCAAAAAGCCCGGAGATCTCTCCCCGGGATAATCGGATAAAAGAGGCTAATCCCTCCCGCCAGCTGATGCGGGCTTCTTATACTTGCTTTCTTTCTCTTATACCGTTCGAACTATTGTAGTTTTGCGATTGACGATCGCCGGATTATTTTATTGTCGCGCGATTTTTTCAAGTATATTTTAATAATCTGGTTTAGCTCGTTTTAATCGTTTTTTTCTTTTTTTTTTTTTTTCACATCTTTGTCTTTGGAGATTTAGGGTAAAAGACCCAATTACTGTCACCTGTCCAATTACCGTCACCCTAACCTATTTTATTTAAAATATTAAATAAATCCTAAAAAGTTATGCACGAAAACAATCTAACGTAGAATTTTAAGTGCAATTGATGTAACAAAAAATCTCCAGCATTCAACATTCGCGTCTCATTTCTTTCATTTTAGGGATGGCCAGTAAATAGCTCTCGCATCGTTCTTTTTTAATTTATTAAATTTATAAATAAAAATAGAGATTTTGAGAAGCGGTATTTATTTTGTTTCTTATATCAGAGACATCGACTAATACCACACCGAAAAAATTATATTCTTGTAAGTAGAAGATTTTATACTTAAAAAATCTTCTCAAAGATTTTAGATGATATTCTTCTGAAATTAAGAATATATTCTTTATTTAAGAATATAGTCTTTTTCAATAGTGAGATATATATATGTTTTTCTATAGAGGCATTTTATATTCTAATCAGTATATATTCTTATTAATATTACTATTTAGAGGATTTTTCTCTTAAAATAAGAAACTCTTCTTGGGGCGCCTATTTTAGTATAAAATATACTTAAAGTAAGTGCGATATCCTCAAAACAAGATTACAATTTTTTCGGTGTACGTGTATTATATATATACACCGAAAAAATTATATTCTTGTAAGTAGAAGATTTTATACTTAAAAAATCTTCTTAAAGATCTTAGATGATATTCTTCTGAAATTAAGAATATATTCTTTATTTAAAAATATATTCTTAATTTAAGAATATAGTCTTTTTCGATAGTGAGATATATATGTTTTTCTATAGAGGCTTTTTATATTCTTATCAATATTACTATTTAGAGAATTTTTCTCTTAAAATAAGAAACTCTTCTTGGCGTCTATTTTTAGTATAAAATATACTTAAAGTAAGTGGGATATCCTCAAAACAAGAATACAATTTTTTCGGTGCAGATAAGAAGAAAAACACATGTTTTTGATAAAAAAGTAGTAAAGTAAAAACAATTTGCTAACGCCAGAGTTGATTATTCAGGTGACGGTAATTGGGTCTTTTACCCTACCGGTCGCTTTTTCGCTTTGTTGCTTGAATTTTCCGGAAAAACTCGATTTCTCGACGGGAGCCAAAATCGGCGTCATCGCGACGATACACAAGTGTCACCGTTATTCTTCGGAGAGAAGAAAAAAAAAACTCTGTTTCGCAACGAGAGTTCTTTAGCGTCAGACAGACGCGTCGAAAATGCGGCTCGTTTCGACTGTTAATTATTGCCACGGGCGGTTTCGCAATAAAAGTTGCGGCGAAGACGAAGCGGCGAAACTTTCCCGCCCGCTGAATTTTCCCAGCGCGTCGCGCGGGCACGGCGCTCGAATAGCGGCGATAACAATGATTTACGGCGCAATAATTATCTGTCTCGCCGCGGCTCGTGGCGAGCCCGGGGATCCTTACCGTTCCTGACGAAGGGCCGACGCTCGCGGTCGTTCGTTTTTTTTCGTGCGGTTGTTCTCTCTTTTTTCCTTTTTTTTTTTTCTGACGAGGTCACCGCGCAATTTCGCTGAAAACTATCGTTCGCGCGCGCGAACGACATTGCACTCGAATGCCATTTTCAACGACGCGGGTCGTCGTCGTGGGATTATTGCGAGCGTCTCGTGAAAATTACGTTCCCGTTAATATCTGAACGGCGCACGCTAGAATACCTACGCCCTACGTTAATTCAACGCGGTGCTCGTGCGAATTATCTTCACGGTAATTATCTCATCTACAACACGTAGCTGCGATGTGTTTTGTTGCGCCCTTCGGGGAGGGTCACTTTGTTAACCCGCGAAGAATCGCAGAAACAAACGAGTTTCAAAATTTTAGGTCGATGTGATAATCACTTATAAAAATATTAATACGTGACAAAATAACGCCACGAAATTGAAAACATTTTTCTAACGCGTCTCGAAACATCGAATCGGTTTTATTCAATTTTTACTCAATTGAGAAATTAAAGGTTCACCGAAAAAATTATATTCTCGTAAGTAGAAGATTTTATACTTAAAAAATCTTCTTAAAGATTTTAGATGATATTCTTCCGAAATTAAGAATATATTCTTTATTTAAGAATATAGTCTTTTTCGATAGTGAGATATATATATGTTTTTCTATAGAGGCTTTTTATATTTTTATCAATATTACTATTTAGAGGATTTTCCTCTTAAAATAAGAAATTCTTCTTGGCGCCTATTTTAGTATAAAAATATACTTAAAGTAAGTGGGATATCCTCAAAACAAGAATACAATTTTTTCGGTGTACGTGTATATATATATATACACCGAAAAAATTATATTCTTATAAGTAGAAGATTTTATACTTAAAAAATCTTCTTAAAGATTTTAGATTATATTCTTCTGAAATTAAGAATATATTCTTTATTTAAGAATATATTAGTCTTTTTCGATAGTGAGATATATATATGTTTTTCTATAGAGGCTTTTTATATTCTTATCAATATTACTATTTAGAGGATTTTCCTCTTAAAATAAAAAACTTTTCTTGGCGCCTATTTTAGTATAAAATATACTTAAAGTAAGTGGGATATCTCCTCAAAACAAGAATACAATTTTTTCGGTGTTAAGTTATGTCAAGATTATGTCAAGGTTACCTTTAAACATTCGGATGATGATTTCCTCGTGTGTTTTTCTTCCACCAACACCAGTCGTTTTCCTTTTCCAGGTACCCGTGGAGCGGAGAACTCTGCCCACCGACTTGCCGGGGCCGTCGCGACGACGACCGTTCACGAAGAGGCACTCGCCGTCGGCGGAGCCGTGCTCTTCCGGCGGCAGCAGCGGCGGTGGTGGTGGCGGTGGCACAGGCGGCGGCGGAGGCACAGGCGGCAGCGTCGCCACCGGCACCGGTTCCGGGATGCAAACGTCGTGCTCCCTGCCGGAGACCCCCGTGTTCGCCAGAGGTAGCGATATTCCCAGAACGCCGCAGCACGCCGGCAACCCGACGCAGTCGAGGCGACAGCCCGGCTGGTACGCACCCACTACAGCCACCGGGTAAGCCAGCAGTGCGATGAGAAACGTCAATATTGTCCTTTTTTTTGTTATCCGTACACTTTATGCTGATCCTCGTTTGTTTGTTTTCAGCTATCGAAGAAACAATCCCGGTCTGGAGCAAGCTATAATCGGCACGGAGCTACTCCGGTTGGCGGGCGGTCCGAATCGCGGTTGGTACCCGACCAGGAAGGCGAATCAGCCGCGACCGGCGTCGATCGAGCATCTCGAGCGGCTCAACAACGCTTACGACGCGCGACTACCGAGCACCGGGGACCAGAGGAAGCCGCTCACCCTGCCCACGAACATCACGCCCAACAAATACTTCGGCCAAAGTAAGCACAGCTCCGCCTCCAGCACTCGCGAGGCGCTACGGAGGGTCACTAGCTTGCTCATCAAGAAAGGTAAGCGCCGGAGATTCGCGCTATTAGAAAAAAAAAAAAAAAAAGAAAGAAAAGCACCGCGCGCCTTTTGAACGTGTTCGCGCGTGGCACGATCGGAGAACGCGACGTCGCCGGTGACTTCTGTCCTGATCGCGCCTAGATCTCCACTTGCCTCCGAAATCAATTTCACAGTTTTTTTTTTTTTCTATGGTTTTCTCTCGGAGCAGTGCTGTTACGAGTTTCTAAACCACGAAATCGTCAATTTAACGTCTTCCACACAAGATGTTATCTCCCGCTGCTCGTCCGGCGTGTATTCGTAATGGTGCTGCTACAGTTGAACTGTGAAATATCACTCGAGACGCAAATGCGGACGTGGTGCGCGCGTCAGATTTCGCCGTGGGAGGAAGATTTCGCGGAAGCGACAAGTGACTTTTTCCGATATAAGTCGCCAGATCGACTCTCCGGTCAAATCTGTCCTCCACGTTGTGTTTTTCAGAGATTTGACTATTTTTGAAAGCCCGCAATTCTCTTTGACAAGTAATCCGCAAAGGAGTTTCTCTGACTTGTATCTTGTGTGACCTTTCGTGGCATTTGAGTGCCGCCGAAATTTTAACGCTATCTTCTCTTCTTCTGTAATAATATCTGGAATGCCTGCGCTTCTCTGATTCTCTTACTACTACTACTACTACTACCATTACCGTAAGATCATGAGAGAGTAGTTTCGACCTACACATAGTGTGCACCGTATATTGATTTTTTTTAAATTGATTTTGAATTTTGATGTTTTAAAGTTATCTTTGTGTACTTCCATCAACAATAGATTCACACATTGCGGAGTATGTTATGTAATTGAGTCTCTATCTAAATTATTGTTTTTATTTCTCCCCGTATATACACCGAAAAAATTTATATTCTTGCAAGTAGAAGATTTTATACTTAAAAAATCTTATTAAAGATTTTAGATGATATTCTTCTGAAATTAAGATTATATTCTTTATTAATATATTCTTAAAAATAAGAATATAGTCTTTTTCGATAATGAGATATATATGTTTTTCTTATAGAGGCTTTTTATATTCTAATCAGTATATATTCTTATCAATATTACTATTTAGAGGATTTTCCTCTTAAAATAAGAAAATCTTCTTGAGGCGCCTATTTTAGTATAAAAAATATACTTATAAAAAAATTTAGTATATTATAAAAAATTTAGTATATTATAAAATATACTAAAGTAAGGGAATATCCTCAAAACAAGAATACAATTTTTTTGGTGTATGTGTATATATATATATACACCGAAAAAATTATATTCTTGTAAATAGATTTTATACCTAAAAAATCTTAAAGATTTTAGATGATGTTCTTCTGAAATTAAGAATATATTCTTTATTTAAGAATATATTTAAGAATATATTCTTAATTTAAGAATATAGTCTTTTTCGATAGTGAGATATATATATGTTTTTCTATAGAGGCTTTTTATATTCTTATCAATATTACTATTTAGAGGATTTTCCTTTTAAAATAAGAAACTCTTCTTGGGGCGCCTATTTTAGTATAAAATATACCTAAAGTAAGTGGGATATCCTCAAAACAAGAATACAGAATAACAATTTTTTCGGTGTAGGTATATGTGTAGATATTTTTTTTGTGATTATACTTTTCGAACGTGTATCTTTGTTTAAATTCTTTTAACGTACGCACAAAATCTCCCTCGTTTTTATTGCATGAATCTTAACAACTGCAGTAACCTCTCTGTCGCAGTCTCGTAAGAAAAGTATGTAATTTATTACACAAACTATAATTAGTTTATATCGTCTTACCCCAAGTTTTGACAGTCTCTCTCTGCAATTTAGCGGCAAAAGCTCTGCATGCTGACGTGTAGTTGAACTCGAGAATGCGGTGTGTGAAACTTTACAAATTGTTCTTTAGAATATATCGCTGTGCGTGCGTTCTTTCGAAACGCTAAATGATTCCGCTGTTTCCCGGAGAATTCCCGCCGTAAGAATGACGCGATGTTATCAATCGCCGGTTTCATCGCTCGCGTCGGTAACTTAGCTACTCTGCGTTATCTCAAATTTCCGACTTTGCCGACGTGAGATCAAGTGCGCGTTCGCGTGTATGTAGAGACCTTTGGTTATATCAATTTCTTTTCACTTGTTTGCGCGCGGTAAAATGAGAACAAAAAACCTCTCAAGAGATTTGGAAAACAAAAACAATCGTGTGTTTCGCTTTCTCGGGGAAAAATATATCTAATACCGGAATTCGAGCGTGTCCCTAGAATTCTCTCTCTAGCGTTCTAGAGGACGACGTTTGTGTTCGGCGCCACTGGCAATTCTCCTCGTCGAAACGCGCGACTTCCGCCGCACCACGTGTTACGCGGGCGCCGTAACGTGGCGCCGCCCGGTGGCGCTCGGTCGAACAGCCTTCCAGCTGAATGTGACCGACCTTGAAAGCTAGTCCGCGCGGCTAGAACGGACGGTGAGGAACAGGAGGAGACAAGGCCTCGGCCGTGTTACACGTTGCGAATTCGTCCCCGCGTCCTTCTCCGCGTCCAGTGACGTAACCACGATGAATCAGCACCCTTTCCTCGGATTATTATTTTTTTCCGTCGACCACATGTGAGTTTCGTTGTTACATTTATGAAATTTACGACGCTGATAATTAATATTCCATTTACATAAACAAAAAAAAAAGATCTCGCAATTTATTTTTTTTGTTGTGTAATTTTTAATTTCTCCGATGACGAAAACTTGATCGCGTTTTCACAACCGAACCGCATCCTGTTGGTTTTCCGTGTCGTTGTTTCTCTCTCGTCGACAACGCTCGTTTCAACCGCATCCCGACGAGAGATATTGTTTCATTATCATTTCTCCGCGCGACGTCTCGCACATCATGTGACATGGCGCATCGCACTCGCCCCCGGCGCGACATCGTGGCGCAGAGACCGGCGGCGGCGGCGGCGGCGTTGTAAATATAATGAAAATAAATGCTGGAAATCCTCGAGAAAACTCGGGGATCCCGGCGGCGGCTACCTGAGCCGCCGACAAAACTAGATTTCGCATCCGTTTCAAGAGAGAACGAGCGGGGAGAGGAGGAGAGTGCTCTGCGCCGCATTGTGCGTGCGACATCCCCGCGACTCCGCCGCCGCCGCCGCCGCCGCTGCTGCTCGTAGATGCCTCCTTCGCACCCGAGGGTTCCCGTTATTGATTCGTCCGACGGAAGGTTCATCCGCAAATGTTTCCGCGTCCGCCTGCCGCGATTCGGCCGCCTGCGCGCTAGCGACTCCGTCGCTTGCACCTCCTCGTCAAATTTTCAAGCCCGCACACACGACAATGTGTGTCCGGACTTTCGGACTTTTATGGAGAAAAGCGTCTCGCGGGTTTTAATGAAATTGCGAGAGAAGAAAAGAATGGAACGCACACACGAAAAGTGTGTGCGTTCCACACGGCCACTCGAGAATTCGAAGGACGGTACGCCCCAAGGGTCGATTCAAAGTTTCTCACAGAAGTGGAAATAATTATCTTCAACAATAGAAATGACATTGAGGGAAAAAAAATAAGGTGATCCACCGTCCCGGGATTTTATCGGGACGCTTCCGATTTTTGCGATCGTCGCGGAATGCGATTAGCTCTTTTGTTCTTCTCTTCTTAGTTTTTTTTTAATTTTTACTTGTCGCAAAAGTTAAATGTTCCGAAATGTTCGACGACGGGAAAAACCTGGTTTCTCCGCCTCCGGGAAAAGGCAGCAAACGTGCGCGCTATAGAGAGAAGTTTCTTCGATCGGCGGTCGGCCCTCGGCGGTCTTTTCGTCAGAAAGCGGCAGAAGTTCTTTACAATCGCGCGCTCTTGAGTATACATATATATATATATAGTATCGCGTTCTGCTCGTTGCGATGTAAAAAAGCAACTACTTCTTTCCCTCGTCGCGCGTATCGAACATCGCGCTCTATAAATAACCGTTGGCGATAACACGACGGTTTTAATGCGTTTGCGCGCATTCTCTTTTTTTTTTTCGGCGAGAGTCGTCGCTCTCTCGTTCGTCAAACGAACAGAAATCTTCTCTCTCTCTTTTTCGTTTGTAATCCCAAATCGAATAAGAGCGTCGAATAAAATTTTGCATTCGCAGAAACAACGCGCGAATTGTTTCTCCTTCTCGATCGCGCGTTTGCGCGCGCGTGTTATCCGCGCGCACACACACACAAATGCCCGGATGTGAGGCAAAATCGATAACGACAATCATACGTGTGCGTGCGATTAACGTTTTATTGTACACTCGCGCGATCTCGGCGCGAGTCGCGAAACAAAAAAACCGTCCTCGCCACGAAAGAAAATAAATCATTAGCTTTCGGAAAAAAAAAATATTTTATCCGTTGCGCGAGTCTCGCTTGTTAAAATGCTTTTATATATATATATATATATATATATAAACTACTTCTTTAAAACGTTCCAAATTTTTTTGTACCACGTTGTCAAGGAGAGAGAGAGGAAGATGCGATTTAAAAGTCTCCGCGTCAAGGACGCGAGAGTCCGATTTTTAAGGTGGATGACACACGGACTGAATATCGATTGCGAAGGCTGACCTTGCGAGCGACGAATTGAATAAAAAAAAAAAAAAAAAGCGCCACTTATACCTCGAATTTTGCTCGTCCCCGCCTGACGTTAAATCCTCTCTAAGAGTCGCGCTGCGCTTTCTCAAGCTATTTTCTCTCGGCACCGAGAAACTTTCACACAACCCCCGACTTTCAATTTCCGACGAGTATTTACTTATTTATCCCTCACTAATTCACGGAATATTTTGAGAAAACAAATTGCGCAAATCTTGGGTTTCAATTAAAACGTGAGAATAATTCATTTCGCGAGATTTTGAAAGATTGTTCAAAATTTATCACTTGAAAACCGTTCCCTCGTAATAAACCAAGCGTTTTATAGCGCGTAGTATTTGTTTGAAAACAAAAAATGAGACTTCTATAGCTTCATCCTCCCGAGGAAGAGGACACAGACACAATTTTCAGTTAA